GAGGGAGGGAGGGAGGGAGGGAGGGGGAGTGAGGGAGGTTCGCACTTGGCAGACATACCCATATACCATAGACGGGATGGGGGGCAAGTTTTGGAGGAATGATGATTGTCTGTGGACGTCTGATCGCTAGAAGGGACAAAATGGACACTGCCAGTAGTATTTCTCATGGGGCATTTGGCAGACATGGCCATATAATATCATATACATTATATGGGATGCGTGCAAGTGTTGGAGGAATGATGATTGCCTGTGGACGTCTGATCGCTAGAAGGGACAAAATGGACAGGAGTATTTCTCATGGGGCTGCAAAAAGGCAAAAAAGTGTGATCGAGGGTGTTTATCTCCACCGAATTAACCCAAAAAAGTTTTAAAACACCTCAATCAGATCTGATAATGTCCTAATTAGGAGTACTAGTGGTAGGTTCTGACAAGAAAGATACGTTCCATGACATGGCACAGAACGGCAGTTAAAAAAATAATATGTGAGGTGAGAGAAAAATATATGGCTGTCCCCCGATGAGGAGAAGGCAGCTTTTTATTAAAAAAAAAAAAAAAAAAAAAAAAAAAAAAAAAAAAAACAAAGAAAAAACGAAGAAAAAAAAAAAAAAAAGATTCCTTATTTAATTTATCGTGTGCGAACGAAGGTGGGAATAATTTGTCATTGAAAAAAAATAAAAATAAAAATTATAATAATTTCTCGTTGGAGGATTTTCTGGAGCTGTTTTTTCAAGCGATTGGTTCTCAAACGCTTTTTTTTTCTCTTTTTTTTTTTCTTTTTTTTTTTTTGTAAGGCTAATTCCTTTAAGCCCAACCAATTCAATTAGTACCTGTCGAATCTGGACGTGATTGACCTTCTTCTATTTTCTATTTTCTTAATTCGTTTTCGTTTTCGTTTTCATTTTCTATTTTTGGAATGTTTGTGTAATGTGCCCACGCAGCAACATCGACGACATGGCGTTCTGAGCCGACTGGTTGAGCGGACTGCATACCCGCTCCGTCCGATGAATGGGAACAAAGGCTCCTTGGTCAGTTGTTTCATTTCTTTTTTTAATATTCACTATTATTTAGTATTTTCGATCTTTCCGTACTTTTACTATGTACTATGTACTATGTACTATGTAGTATTAAACTCTTAATAATTTCTTTTGCTTTACTTTAAATTTTTATTTATTGGTAAGGAGGCAAATATGAGTGAGGGTAGTCTGTCCTTGCCCATGAGGAGGGACAGATAACCCAAATTGAATCCTTTTCTAACCATAATTAGTAATTACACTTATTATAATTTCATAATCAATTTTCAAGTAATGATGGATACCTACCCATATAATCCTAATGTTGGGGCATTCCCAGCACCAAAAAAAAAAAGGTTGGGAATCCCCAAGCGTTTTTTTTTTTTTTTTTTTTTTTTCTGCTGGGAAAGCCCCAACATTAGGATTATATGGGTGGGTATCCATCATGACTTGAAAATTGACCGGATTAAAATTTACCAGCTTTGCACTAAGAGCTGTTTCCTCTCGCACACAAACATCTGAACCTTTCTCACCCTTTCGCCAGGGACACTGGACACTGGGCCCCATTTCCAGCACAAGCCTACAGTCTTCCCCCGAATACAACGCACGGTCATTATAGCCAAATTTGGTGCATCTTTCAGTCTAAATTCAGCTATAATGACCTTACGTTGTATTCGGGGGAAGACTGTAGTAAGCTGGGTAATGGCCCCCAGATTTTCCTGCCAGTGGTTGTTTGTGAGGAATTCCCCGCATTCACATAAAATATGGGATTCCATTTTTTTTTTTGCAATAAAAGCCACAATTGAAATCAGACTGCACTACAAAGCTGCTCACGACGTGCATTCACGTACGAACTGATGGAAAAACCCAACTTCTTCAACTCAGATTCAACAATGCACTTGCACTGGCCTCTAGCGCCCACACTGAAAACTCAGAGATATGGCTTCCAGCTAGAAACACTGTCTCCGTCGTGCACACACGACGTAGGAGGGCGCACCCTGAATGTCCACTGTAAACACACACACACACACACACACACGCACGCACGCACGCACACACACACACACACACACACACACACACACACACACACACACACACACACTGTACACTAGGTTGACGTCAACAGCTTGGCGGCCATGGCCCCCTTGTCTTCCTCCTCCTAGCTATGGATGTCGTCGTCTCCCGCAGCCAGCTATGGCTTGGCGGCCATGGCCGCCTTCGTCTTCCTCCTCCTAGCTATGGCTGTCATCGTCTCCCGCAGCCAGCTATGGCCGTCGTCATCAACCTCTGCCCACTTCAGCTACTACGGGCACCTGCAGGCTGCAGAGGCTGCAGACCTCCAGGCACAAGACACAGCGACAGCACTTCCGCATGGCTCACAAATGAATGAATTAATGACTGGACGCTGCCTCTTTGTTTATACGGTTCCACAGGGGGCCTGGCCCTGCCTCAAAACGCGCGGGCCTGGGGCCCAAACCGCGTGGGCCCGCGTCCCGAACCACGGGAGGGCCTGGGCCTCCAAACCGCGTGAGGCCAGGAAGCCTCCAGAACGCGTCGGCCTGCTGGGCCAAACGCGTGAATAGATTGACAGAAGTAAAAAAAAAAAAAAAAATCGAGAAAAAAAAAAACAAAGAAAACGCCTGAAGTCTGTGGCCCTACCTGGCACTTGCTGACTGGACAGGGACAGACAGACCTACGACCTTCTAGACTGAGTCTCTACCAACACTACCTACGGACTGGAGTGACCCTTAGGGCCTACGAAGAGACAGGTAGAGATTTTCAGAAGGGCCCTAAGCGAGTCTAATGGTAATGTACTAACCTGCTAGTACGAAGATCTCAAGGCCATCGCCCTTTCAAAAGAAAAGAAAAAAAAAATAAAAAAAAATCTGTGGGTCAAGTCCTTTTTTTTTTTCTCCTGTGGATCGAGTCGTAACAGCTAACGAAGACGTACTAACTAACCTACGGGGTTTAGGCCCTTTAGGGACAGGGCACGGGTTCAAATCTCAGTAGAACAATGGGTCGATGTACAGGTTTTAGGTGTAGGTCTAGGGATGGAATCTGGGTGTCTGCACTTGTGGGTCAGACTGGGTGAAACCGTTTCACAATTCTTTCAACAAAAGAAAAAAGGAAGAAAAAAAAAGGGAAACTAATTGGGAGTCACAAAAATGAGTTATAATATATTGCTCTACTAGGGGCCAAGTGTGATACAGTTTCGAATTGCAGTTTGGGCAATGTATTGAACCCAGCTTTCTACCAGCAGCAATAGACGCGTCTCGGTTAGCCCTCATGGACTGCGTCATTGCCCCAAGCGCCAGCTTTCTGGCCAGGTAGGTAGGGCGCCCGAAGTACAATTGCAAACTGTATCTTTCATTCTGTGATCTGTCCTTTTCTGCTTTGGTCTGTCAGGAAGACTTCACCGATTTTGCCCTCTTCTGTTAAAAAAAAGAAAAAAACAAAAAGAGGAGGCCCCGAGGTTCCTGATGATACCGGCTGTCCCCTACGTAGCCTGTATAGCCCACCTGCAGGCCCCCGCATGTTCTCTCGTGAACAGGGTTCGGTTCTGGCTGCTACGGGGTTCCCCGTATGCTTATAATTAATTAGGAGTGGTGGTAGGTACGAGGTAGTGTGAGGTGAAATTGAGAGAAGAACATAGCTTTGAAAAAAAAAAAAAAAAAAAAAAGGGGGCATTTAAAAAAAAAAAAGAGAGAGAGAAAAAAGTTCAAAAAACAAACTAAAAAAATGAAAGAAAAGACTTGATGCCAATTTTGCCCTCTCTGGGGCCAAGTCCGACTAGCCAAGAGTTACGCTTCGAGGCTGGGCTTTCAACGACGTGCGGCCCGGGGTGACTCACGTGAGCCGCCGATTGCAGTGGACATCCAGTGCGGCCCGGGGTGACTCACGTGAGCCGCCGATTGCAGTGGACATCGACCGCCCACTCGTTTTTGCCCAACCCGCCGTTTCCAAAGTGGCCCACGTCCAGTAGCATGTTTTAAAAATGTTTTGTTGCTGTTTTAGTTGGCCACATTCGTTGGGCGGGAAGCTTCAATTTTATGGCTTTTTGACCCAGGGGGTGTTTTTGATGTTTCCCGCCCAGCCTCTTTCCCACGTCGTTTGTGTCCAGAGCCTGCCAGACACGCCCCCCTCTGTTGTGTGGGGTTGAACCTGAGGTACACCGCTGGGACGTGAATGCAGTTGGATGCCTCCTCCCAAGTGCTACTGTTTTTTGTTTATTTTAAAAAGGGCGATGGCCTTGAGGTATTATCATGGGACTAACCAGCCCAGGTAAATTCAATCTTCTGTCTAATCTGACACCATTCAGGTGGCCTTTTCAGCCCAGGGTGGCCTGATAGCCATTCAGGTGGCCTTTTCAGCCCAGGGTGGCCTGATAGCCTTCAGGGCCTGATAGCCTTCAGGGATCCCCCACAGGGGGGCACCGGCCAGGGGACAGCCGGTAGCAGAGGGACTGAGCATCATCTGAGTGGCCAGTCGCAGTGCCTCCCTGAGTAACCCTCCCCCTATGAACATCAGCAGAGACTGCTTTTTAATGCCAATTTGGGGGACCAACGGGCTATCTCTGGGTGGCGGGCGCCAAGCATGCCCAGGAAGGTACATGAGGCCAATGGGGATTGAACCCAAGACCTCCTGAATGCCACTTGTGTGCCTTACCAACTGAGCATGCCTTTCGTATTTTTTTTCATCGTGTACGAAAACAAAAAAAACGAGAAAACCCTCCATAGGCATTTTTAAAATCCGAAAAATGTGCCACACACCGATTTACTCTTCGCTAGTGGGACTTGGCCCCTGGTGTTAATTGCGCTCTTGGGCCTCGCTGCACTACTCTGGAAATGTGCAAAACGAGAGAGAATCTTCTGCTAGAACATGGAAAGATACATCACCATGATTTTTGTCTTTTGTGCATTTCGAGAGTAGTGCAGCGAGGCCCTACGTCTCCGTCGGTATGACGAGTGCTTTTTTCTAGCTGAAGCTTGTGCTTCAACACTCCTGGGCCGAGGTCCCACTAGCAAAGAGGATCGGATCGAATGCCTGAATCTGGACGTGCTTTATGCAGAGATGCAGAACAGCAGTTCAATCTCGATTTCTGTACCTTTCTACAAACACGTCCAGATGCAGGCATTCGATCCGACCCTCTTTGCTAGTGGGACCACGCTCCTGGGGCGAGGTCCCACTAGCAAAGAGGATTGGATGGACTGCTTGCATCAGGACGTGTTTGTGGAGAGGTGCAGAAAGTCAGAGATTGAACTGCTTCTCTGCACCTCTGCTTAAAAGACGTCCAGATTCAGGAGCTTAATCCAATCCTCTTTGCTAGTGGGACCTCGCCTCTGTTTCTTCAAGTTGTTCTTTTTTGTTTTGTTTTTTTCAATGAAAAAGAGGACCCAATTGCCCTGGCTCCATATCCATTCTGGGAGCATACGGGTTCATTTTCGACATGTTATGGCTCTGGCTCCACTTATCCATTCTGGGGAGCATCACTCCGGTTCCTTTTCCACTGGCAAGTCCCCCCCCAAAAAAAAAACAAAAAAAACGACAGATCGTTAACGGAGACCTGAATTTTTCAGATAACTGGTCATGCCATTTATAACAAATTTAACCCCCCCCAGGGTCATTTTAACCAAACTTACCACCAATTCATCCACTGGATACCATACTAACTACTCCCCTCACCCCTGCCTGTGTTGGCCTATACTCGCTACTACATCTGGGTCTATCCTTTTTTTCATCTTCTATCTTGTATGTGCTGTACCCTCCTCTCAGCCAGCTTTTTTAACTGTCAGGTAATTTTGAAACCCTGGAGCAGTGAGGTAAATCCTAACTACCCCCCCTCTGCTTTAGCTGCCACGTCTGTTCTGATCTGCTCTGCTCTGCTCTGTTCTGTTCTGTTCTGTTCTGTTCTGTTCTGTTCTGTTCTGTTCTGTTCTGTTCTGTTCTGTTCTGTTCTGTTCTGTTCTGTTCTGTTCTGT